GTGGTAGTCGAGGGTGAATTTCTAAAACAGAAGCTAGCATTAATGAGTGATTTAGGGTGCTGACTTCAGTCTTGGGCACAAAGAAATCCCGGCTCTTGCAAGGAGGAACATTTACAGCTTTTGTTTGGGGGGGATTTTTTTGAAAGAGTTGTTCTTTTCAGGAAGGGGAGTGTGCATTTCGGCAGTCTTTCTTCTTGTTTGTAGTAGCTTTTATCTGTGTTCAAAAATTACCCGTGCAACCCACCATGCTTTTCATCACAGACTGCATTATTGATACAAATGAGTGGTCTCGGTTATTGCATCTCACTGAGATCTCCCCTTCTCCCCCATCTTCGCCAGTCATTACAGTGACCTTGGCAGTTGATTGACTGGGATGAGAGACATTTATTTTCCCAGTGTACTAAATTAATATTCTATGTTGATTTTTGAGGATTAGAGGAATAACTTCAGCATTGATCTAGGGTACTGCAGTGCAAGAGAAAATCAGGATCTGCATGAACTGTTCTCTTGCAGCATGAGGAGAGAGCAGAATCTGCTGCTGCAGCTTGCAGTGCCGGCGGGCGCCCGGGAGCAGGGGAAGAGCAGACAGGCTTGGCAGATCTCTCCAGCCTATCTCCCAGCCAGGGGCAGGCACAAAGAGCCCTGGATTCAGGGAGCTCTCCGCCCAGCATGTGTTGGCTCTGAGATGACATTTTGGCTGTGTTTGATTCTTGAGCTCCTCACATTTAATCCCATAAATTACATGTTTTTAACTGGAGCTTGTTATCACTTGGCTCTTTCTGTGCACCTTTTGTTCTGACGGTGGAAGACGTGTGGCTTCCTTCAGCATCTAAGCACTGTCTGTGGCACCGTGCAGGCTGCCCAAGAAGCAGCCGAGTGTCCTGCCTGGTGGTGAGAAATCCTTGGCCAGCCCCCAGTGATGTTAACGGGGGGGATCTTGCAGAATCATCATTCACAGCACCAATAATTGATGGCAGGAAAGAACCTCTAATTTACCTGTGCAAATTCACAAGCTGCTCTTCTTTCACAGCCTCTGCTCAGCTGTGGAGGTCACGTCTGGGCCGGGTGATCTACTCCATGGCAAACTGTCTGCTCATGATGAAGGTACGTGCGTGGCACAGCTGCGGAGGTGCCGTCTCTTCGGGAATGCAGCGTCCCCGGGAGCCAGGGAGTTCCTGCTGCAGAGAAAAGGGAAGCCTACCTGAGCGTGCGTGAAGGCTTTGCTTAGCAAAGAATTAATTAGACTTAATAATAATGACTTCTTTAATAGATAACCATTTGCAGTAATGTTCTTTGGGAACATATCTGTACTTATTTCTTCCCAAATCGTCTCAGAGAACATGCAATAACAATACAGAATTTGCATTTTTAAATTGAGTTTTTCAAGCACTTAACTAAATGCTGTAATTAAAAGCAATTATGTGCCCTGTCATCTTCAAACTGTGCAGAACGAATGTTTCTCTGTTTGTGCACATCACATTAATAATGCCACGGGCTTTGTATGTGGTGCAGATCCAGAGCATCTCAGTACATCTCTTGTCAGCTGTCTAGATTACAGGGTCTCTTCCTTCAGATTTAAATCCTCACTACCAGTACAGGAGCAGGGAGGAATAAAAACAAATGGAGAAAGCTATCATTGTTTTGTTTTCTTACAATTTCCTAACTCTTTTAAGCAATCCTGCTTCATTTTGTGCAAGACTTAGCTTTGTCTTTTGCTCAAGAAATAAGTGGAAATAAGACTTCCACAGTTCACCTCATGATAATGAGAATAGAGCATCCCCATTTCAGGCTTGTAAGAAAGAAAACTGTCACTTTGAACTTAAAACTACTTCATGAATCAATCAGCAGCAACAGACCAAGATTTTCAGCCCTTGCTTTCCACTCTTTGGCTGCCTGAAGTCAAGCCAAACCTGGTTTTCTATAACATTGAACTGGCAACAGATGCATTCAATAATTTTAATACCATATTAACATCCAGAAATGCTATGATCATCATCTCTTCTTCTCTGCAGTATTCCATACAAAACTGTTTAATATAAAGTTCCACACCATTATACGCTGTTGTATAATGCACTTTAAAAAATCCACTGTAATAATTTCAGGTGTGTCGTGTAATTAACATGTGTGTCATGAAATCCTGTTCTCAGTCTCTGAGTCAGTGCCATGTATTGCCATCTAGTGAATATTTACAATATTGCAGTATGGTCCTGTTTGTTTGATTCCACAGTGCTGTTAATAGATTTTGAGCTCAATAAATGAATAAGGATAATTTACTGAAGTAAAAGAACGTTCTCCATAAGACTGATATGAAAAAATAAAAATTATCATATATTTATTAATCTTTTCCTTTGGCCAAAAGACCTCAGTAATATTTAATAAGAAATAACCTTTTCAGGATTGACTCTTCAAAATAAAATAAAAAAAAAGACTTTGAATAGATGCTGGTCCTATAACTATTTTAATCTCCTTCAGCTATGCTCAAATCTAATGGGAGTTGTTTAATGTCTTTTCTGTTCTGCATTGCTTATCTGACCCAAGCTTGTGTAGCACGGTGGTATTTGTCTTTTTAAATATGCTATATGGCCTCATTAGTTTCATAGGTGAATCTCACATTAATTTATTGAGATAGAGGAGTATATTGCTTCAGAGATGCTGAAATAGGGTGCAAATAAGTAATTTACCCAGACTCCTGCAGAAGACCCGTAGAGGAACAGGGAGTTTATCACAGTTCTCCTTTACCCTGAGACTCTCTTCCCTAGGTACAGAATCCTGCCTGCTGTATCATTTTAGAGAGGTGTCTGATGATAACGTTCCGTAGCAGTTTAAGGCAGTCTCACTCTGTGGTCCCTTTGCTTTTCACTCCCTTTCTTCGTAGAAACTTTTTTAAAAAGGTATTCTAGCTCCTCCTGTGCGCCACTTTTGGACTTAACCAAGTGGTAAGTCGGGAGAGGAACCTGGTACAACAGAAATAAAGGAGTGTTGATGTGGAGGCATATCAGCTGAGTCAGCCTTGCCGGTGTCCTGTGAACGAGTGGCAAACAAGGGGAGAGTGAGACGGGAAGACAGGACCATGTAACATGGAGCACTGTAGACTTGCACTTAAAAGAGCTGTGAGCTTAACTCAGCATGAAGGTAACTGTACCCTCAGTGCAGCCACAGGAGGGAATATTCATTTAAAATGTAACTAATGATGTGCATTGTCTCATTTCAACAGCCTAATTGCAAAAAGTGTCATTTTACTGATTCACCATTAAAGTGTCTGAAAAACTTTTTAAAGTTCTTGTCATCTGAGATAAAGTCACTTTTGACATTATGTTTGCAGATTTTTATCTCTCTAAAGAGTGACTACCTAAGTACTTTACATTTATATTATAAGTGCACTCTGAGAAGAGGTACATTTTGCATTTTTAGATGTTTTTTCAGAGTTGTCTTTGCTTTTGTAGAACTTTCCTTAGGTGTCACTCCCTTGCATCACTAATAAAAGCTGCTGTCCCCTTCTTTTTAATGCTTCAATAGCATTATGCCTTAATTTAAAACTATTCTATTGTTTTTATTTTAATAATTCCAGCTTCTCTCTGATTTAAAGGAGAAAGACTGCATGAATCATGATGTCTTTTGCTTACTACGCTGCAGTGCGGTTCTCTGAATTCATGGCACTAAATCTCTGCTTTTGTAACCCTTCTACACCTGTGCTGGGTGGTGAGAAAGACTGTCATCTCTTCCCAAAATATAATCTTTATGACCAACATGGTCTGTTAGGCTGTTTTCAAAACCTCCTCTCAGCAGTTCACCAATCACTATCATTTATGCCATTTCTAACTGTGTCATAAATCATACCTTGATTATTTACAATGAATAGAA